GTTCATTTTAGGTTGATGTACACATAGCCATACTTATATGCCAATTTCAATAACGGAAAAAAATTTCCAGCATCAAAAATCAAACATGATGTATCTCAGAGATGTGCATGTTGTAACAGGAAACAAAGTCAGAGGAGCCAGTAGTCAAATAACTACGAGTGTTTCTTATACTTACCTTAAGAGGCATCTTCGCATGTTCATTTAACAACGGGACATCAAAGACTAATCTTCTGAGTAAGTGTTGCATCATAGAAGGTCTCAATTGGCTGGTGGAACAAAGCCAATTTTAATAATGGAGGGAAACGCATCTAAACCAAGTAGATAATTTGTTAAAACTAAATTAAATATCGGGAACCTGTACCTATACCTCTCCTCAGAGGATGTAACATTTAGGTGTTTGCAATCCAAAGATTAATCAATAGTTATGTAATTTTATAAGAGGTGGCATTACCAACTCATTGCTACCCCCAGATCTGAAGGCCAATCCTTTTTTGCTACAGAAGATACTGATATTCCACTCCCTTCCTTCCCATCACACACAACTGCAGACCCACTGTTTCCATTAACTCAGCAAATGCTTTTTCCCAGACTCCATGGGGTGAGAAGGGCTTCAGTGATCCGATTATAAGCAAAATGAAGAGGAATCATAGGAGCAGAAGGGAGAGAAAAGGCTGAAACAGGAGTTCTGCCAGAGGAGGAAGGGATGATGGCTGACACGGGGTGAACATCTACTGAGTCAGGCCATCCTGACAGCGTGACCCCATGTCATATGTAGAAAGATCCGTGAGATAGGTATTTTGAGTCCATCTTCAGAATTGTAGGGTCAGGGGAGTGAGAGAACTAATATCCTAATTTTTCACCTGCCTCAGGCCCATCTTTCAAATCCATACACCCCCCTGTGAGAGAAAACCTTCCACTCGATGATGTGCAAGCCCTCGCCTCCACGAGCTCCTGCCCAATTAGAAACAAACCATGACCCTAGCTCAGTGCCTGAGAAATTGTCTCTTTCTCTGTGAGAACTTCAGAGAGGACGTATGTTTCTGGTTTTCACGGGGGGCCATCTGAACACTTCTATCTACAGGAAGTGGTCGTCCAGGCCACAGGAAATAGTCAGCATCCATCATTATCACACATAAGCAATGCTTTAATATTACACTGTCTCATTTTTTTTATATTTAATAAGTCTCTTTTTTTGTCTTTCTCTTCTGGAAGAGGAGTTAAAACCATCATACAGAGTCAAAAGGGGAGAATCTATTAATCTTACAGTAAAGTGGCCAGGGACCCCTCACACAATCACCTTACCCACCAATATCCACAACAGCACAACTGGCCCAACACTTATATCCTGCAGCTCAATACCCTGCAGGGGCCTGGAGGAACACTCCTGAACTTGACCAGGAGCCAGAGTGCTCTGATAGGACTCACATCTTAGTACACAGGACTACTTAAAATGAGTGAATTTCATGATATGGAAATTCTTTCCAAAATTCCTAACAATTTGTCAAGGACTAAATAATGACTTCTCTTTCTGAAAGAAGGGCCTTGGTGTAGTTAGTTGCCCACTTACCCACAAATGGAGAGCAAACATACTTCTATGGAATCCCGCTGAGCTTTGGTCAGTGAGCAGCCCTTAGAAAGTCTGTACACGGTATGAAGTAAGGAGTCAATGAGGGAAGCATGGTGCTCTGTGCCCGCAAAAAGGGGAGCACATCTTGTTAACAAAGGTAACACAGCTGTGCAGAGGTACCGATTGAGGGCCAAGGCCATGTCCGTAGCGCTCAAAGCAGCCTAAAAAGAAATTGAAGAGGAGAAAGTCATTTGTGTTTGGCAGCAGAGAGCTCCAAAGGGATGAATATGTTGATGTAATTTTACTACATAGAAAATGACAAAAACATGGAAAGTGGAAATGTATTCCTCAGTTATATCTTTAAGAGTACGTCTTATGATTTTTTACCACTAAAACAATCAACTTTCCATTGTTTATTAAAAGATAAAAAATGAAGTGGTAACGATCGCCTCAAAAAGGCCCAGAGCACAGAGGTTCATATTCTATAACAAAATACCAGTGGTAAGATGAATGAAAGACAAAGACACTAACGATATCAAAGAATGTGAGTACTATTCTTTACTAGGGAAGGAAAGAGAAAGGGGCTATTCTCATACTCCTAAATTCTTTATGAATTCTATTTATTACTACTATTATTTATATTTCTACTCATATCCATCAGCACTGATAATCAAAGGTTGATTGTCTTATGTGTTGTCAACCATACTATTTAGGCTCAGATTTTCATGTCACCGCACCCAAAGAAAATAGAAATCTGTTTCATTTTTGTGAGTCTCCTCTCATGGCTTTCCTCAAAGGGCTATGATCAATTCAAGACCTATTTTCCTCTGAAATAAAAAAAAAACCATTTAACAGGATAAAGGGAGGTGTTACTGGAACTACCAGACCAACACTCAGAGCTGTAGCTTACTGCACAATGTTTGAATCAGCAGGACATTTACACTGATAATGGTGGATTCTCGATGTGGCCCGCTGCATGTACAGGACAGGTTTTAACCTATCTGTACATTAACAAATGAAGACACCAATATATTGCAATTGGTATGACTTACCAATGCCCATTAAACCTTCTTAATACTTTAGTTGCTTGTATTGAGAAGCATCGTTGTTTAGGCCAAGTTAGAGGTTAACAGGAGCCACAGTAATCTGCCAAGTTAGGGTTATATGAACTTCTCATTGTCTTCCATTGCAGCTGGTCAGAATTCTTATCTCACTCGTGAAGCTGCCCGTTTTCTCCACTATTCAATTAATTTCTTAAGGACATAGTCTATTTTATTTTCTGTTTATCTACTGCTTGCCGAAAAATGTCCTAGGTACTCAATAAACATTTGGTGACAATAAATGAATGAATGAGTATATCTATGAAAGAATATCATAAGCCAGAGACTGAAGAGTCCAAAGTCGAGGAAGCTGATTGTTCAAATCATTACCGTATCTAAAGAAGCAGCAGCCCGGAGATCTGGCAGAAAGCCAACCTCTAGAAGATGGAGGAGGAAATCTTGAACCTCAATTCCATAGACCCTGTCAAGGAACAAAACCATGGCTGCCTTGTGATCTGGGCAAAACCCCGCAGACATGTCAGGCTCCAGCACACTTCCATCTAAAAGAGAGAAGGTGACATGCTGTCATCAGTGGCGATGCCATTCACGAGCTAGATTACAAATGGCTACTCTCCAGCCCCCTCGTGTTTTCAATAAAGTTATCAGTTGAATGGTTTTCTGTTCTTCTACTGTCCATAAGCAAGTGCTGGCAAGTGGCTGAGGAAATATGACGGTGCAATTTAAATCCAAGGTCATTTGAATGTTATTTGCACATCCATGTTAACTGCATATATGATAAAAACATAACACCATGGTAGATACTGAAAAGGAAATAAAAAAGCATCCAGAATTCACATTGTGAAGCTAGGAGTAAATACCATAAAAGTTAAAATGTAAAGTAAGGTTGTTCACTCTTTTAAAGAATAAGAACCTCTTTTAAACATTAATCAAACTCATTTACTTCTATGTGATGATTGTGGTATATTTACATATTTATGGATTAGGCAATTACAAAATGATAAAACTTTATGAAACCAATTTGACTTGCAAATGAAATATGTTTCAATAATCATAGCAGAATTAACATTGTACAAAAATTGTCGTATTTTTTTCTCTCTCAAGCCTATATAAATTAGTAAATCCCTTATTATAACTCCGTAGATCATAGGTTGAGGACCATTACTATGGGGAATTTGGGGATTTATGTGCCAAGTTAAAATATTGAGAAAGTGATGCATTTCCTGTTTGACCATGTGATAATTATGCCAACTGCTACTGAGAACACACCATTAAAATTCTACAAAGACTGTCACAGAATCTTTAATAATGATGCAATGTTGAAGAAAGGAGGACTCAGGGAAAAACGATGCAAGACCATCATCATCCCAAAAGGATCAAGTCACAACTTTTTTGTTTTCATTCCTAGTCAATGAATGAATTTGACATTTAAATCATGAAAACAAACAAATAACAAATGTTTTTAAGGGAATTAGATTAAAGGTTAATACCAAATTGCCTCCATTCCTTATAATTATAATAATGCCTAGTATACCTACTACTTTCCTTCCTATAGTTCCAATAACAAAAATAACAGTTCTTGATGTTTGTGCTGTTGTCAAGCACTGAGACAGAAATGCCACAGACACGACTCCACACAGTGTTCAGAATCACACTAGGATATGATCTTCCTTGAACTGAAGATGACACTGACCTTTAGGGAAATTAAAGAACTCATCCCGGGCTGTACACCTAGTATCTGGCAAAGTTAGAGTTAAACCAACTAAAGTGAGATTTGAAGTCCAACCAAAGCTGATTTATTGCCTGGTGTTAAATCAGTATGCTATAATTTTCAATTAAACATCTATATGAAATTCCAGTTCCATTCTCCTAAATATCACGTTATAGGGAATTTAGATTTATCAGTTTCTATCATTTTAACATATAGTTGAGCTTAAGGAAATGGTGAGCAGCTCACTAATCCTGAACTAAGACTGTGTTTGAAACTCTCATGCAGGCGGACATTCCTTTTAAGGGAAGCTGCACTGGAATCCGCGGGGACTCAGGGCTCACTGATCTGCTGCACTCACTGCTATATTTCCACCACCATCTCCTCAAGCAGCTGGAGACAGTGAAGCTGAGGAACGGCCTCCTCTCTGATGCCTGCGGTTTGAACTGGACGAAGCAGGGCTGGGGCACCGGCTTTGCCTGTGGGGCCTGTGGTGTTCATCCACCTGAAGTTATCGCCCCAGACATTCTCCCAACCGGCCTGGGCCCAGAGCTACAGGGGCAGAACCTGCACTTTTGAGATTATGTGTCTCAGCCCTTGAGGTTTCTGAACTCCTCTATCTTCCGTTATTATTTTGGGCCACACTCTAGTTCTAGATGATAGAAATGTTTGAGAAAGACCTTAGCTAATACTTGGGGCGGGGTGGGGGGAGTGCTAATCTTTAGAGGCAAACATCACATACTATATGTATTTTAGAACAAACAGTAACAATTATAACTGATAATTGGTGGTGCCTAAAGAACAGTTTGTCATTGAAACATATAAATATTGATGGTTTAAGAGCTAAAGTTGATTTAAATGCATACCACAGCAAAGTAAAAACATACAGGTTTCTGTCTTTGGTCTCCATAGAAGGAAAGTGGTAAAAGACAAGTGTAGAAATTTAACAAGGACCAGTGGATTGCATTTTAGAGATTAACTTTCGTTGTGTGTCTACACAGACATACAACACACACACCACACACACACACACACATACACACCCTTTAAATTCCAAGGGAGACAATATACCTCATCTATTTTTGAAGAAAAACATAAAATGATATTCGTATAGCATAACTAAGTAGAACAGGAAAGAAACCAACTTGAAAAATCTTGAGGGCTGTTGAAGGCAGATAATTGCAGAAAAATGAGGAGGTGTAGACGACTTTGGAGCCAGGCTAACAGGGATGTCTTGGTTATTTGTTATTATCAATTTTACCTTAAAATTCAGCACTTCTCTGTTTTCTAATCTGTGCGTCACTGGTATTACTATTATCTTTATCCTGACATGTCAATTTTGTGGCTCAAAATGTAGGGGAAAGAAAAGATATGTAAGAAAGTGACTACGAACTAGAAGACAGGTAAAAGGAAGGACAATGAGCATAATTCTTATATACACAAGAAAAACACCGCTTAAAGTGGGAAAAACAAAAAGCTATGGGGCAATTATTAAGTTCCAGCTTTCCCTAAAATTATAACGCATGTTCCATTATTATGGCCTCTATGTCACCTTGAAGACTTGCGTTTTAAGGTGAACACACATGAAACTTTACTTTCTCATTACCTTACGGCTGCCAAGGAGGATACGCCACCTTCAGGGGCCATTTGCCATTTCCAGTGCAGTTTGGGGCAGTGCAGAGGTCCCTGTGGGTGTGACCCAAGGCCCTACTGCCAACCCCCACAGCAAAGCTTCTGCACTTCACCTTGTGCTGCCCGAGCCCCACCCCATCCACCCTGGGCAGGACCGGGAGGGGCGACAGCTGCAGGGCGATGACCTTAGGCAGTAGGTGGATTTTATTTAACATGTTTTTGAGTTAATACTGGAAAACTAGTCCCAAGCAGTTTCTAAACCCAAAATGATATGTTGGAAAAGGATGATAAACGTTTGGTCAAAATGAGGAAAAAAAAAAAAACTTTCCAAAATGTTCTCTTTAGTTTTGAAAAGGACACTTCTTTCAACACACTGGGAATATTTAAATCTCTAAGTTAAAGCTATGATCATTGTTTTTCTAGGGAAAAAAGCATTATAAGAAAGTAAAAATGAAAACTACCAAAACAAGTGAATTAAGCAACTGTGATCAAGAAAAACAGAGAAGAATGGGGATCAAAGAACACTAGAAGAGACATTAGGTAAGACAGTTGGGGGGCTTCTTTCCTGATTGGAAACATAGCTGTTTAAAAACATGAGAAGAGAAAATAGTTTATGAAGTAATGTACTCTAGTTCTTTTCTTGTTTCAAAGAAACTTAAGTAATGTTCCCATGCAGCTGGTAGGGAAATGCTGAGTACCGATCTGATCACATCATCCAAGTCCTTCTGAGCTACAAAGAGCTGGAACCGCCTTACCTTTGGCTATCGTTGGCATCTGGAAAGCAATGCTGATCACGCCCACCAAGTCTCCCAGTGGAATGAGGGATCTCAAAATAGATCTGATCCTGATGGCTTCTCCCTTACCAGCATGGATCAACTACAGGGAGAAAATAAAGGGACATTAGAATAACTTTGTGAAATCAATGCTTTAATTCTATCCAGAAAGTCTGAAGTACGGGAATCCAAGTCAAAAAATAATTTTCTGTTAAGTATACATATAAAGTTAGATCTTGCTCCGAAACCACTGTTTCAGGCTTACAGACAGATATTTACTTGCTCACATGGTTTTCACTGATATCGGCATACATTGAGTTATATACTATGGTCTAGGCCAGCCGATTTATCCATTAGAACAATGGTTTTTATCCTCTTCAGGGTCTTAAAATATAGTGAGATTGGTAAGTCCATTGATGCTTACCTCCCAAAATCACACATAAACCCCTATCCACAACATGAGCTAATACAAAGAAAAATATTATTATCTTTAGGCCCTGAACATACACTATAATTTATGATTGATTTAGCCTCTTTCTCACTTTGTGATGAAAATATAATTGCATATCCATCTATGTGCCACCCTGGTGTAAAACCCAAGGCTGTGTTTACAATATGGGGTAAATGGTAAACATGAATCTAACAGGTATTTTGGACTGTCACTGGCTAACGCAGTACCCATGAAAACATGGCTCTGATACTGTCAAGAATCTCAGCCCATCTTGGGGACAGACCACATGCTTCAGCCAGGGGTATATCTGATTCCTTCACCACAAGGTGTGAAACACAAGCACAAGCTCTGACACATAGGAGGTCCTCAACTCATAGTTACTGAGATGAATACATTTCAGAATTGCCAAGGTCAGTTCCTTATTAAGTCACTTAGATTTGTTTCCTCTTAATAGAACAAAAAACTTCTATTTATTAGCATAATTTCTCTCTTGGTTCCTTTGATCTCTCATGTTAACAGGAAAGGAACAAATATTGTGATCATAAACTTTTTTGTCCACAATCACCTCTAGCACATAGACTTTTGATAGCCCATTTACAAGATGAAAATCTCATTAGCAGAAGGTTACGTTTTCACAAAAACCAGACTAAGTTTTCTAACATTCTGACATTTCTCCATCCTGTGATTCCTCACTATTCACAAGAGATTATATCAAGAAAGTAAGAAAGTTTTACCCAATGGGTGTAAGAGAAAGAGCCACCCCCCACCCCAGCCCACCCAAACAGACAAATGAAAACAGAAAACCCCATAGATGCTAAAGGTAGGAGAAAGGTGGTCTGTAACAAGTCGCTGTCGCTTCCTGCTCAGACCAGTTCAGAGTGTATCTGTCTTGCACCCCAGCACTGTTCAGTGTCTTCAAACTGTTGTTTCCCACTAACAGGTCACGAGGCTAATTTTATGGGCCCTGACAAGTAATTTTTAAATGGATATAATAGAATAAAACAGAGTAACTTGGAATAAAATTAAGAAGAAAATGCCACAACGTTTTATGGAGTAAAATGAAGTATTGTCCCATGAAACTTTAATTTCCTCTTGGTCAAGAGGCTCAGAAAACACTGATCAATCAGGTCTGAACAGCTCTTTTCTTCCCCCAAACCAGGGGCCCACATGAAGAGCAAGAGACTTCCCAAATATTGTGATCATAAACTTTTTTGTCCACAATCACCTCCAGCAGACAGATTTTTAATAACCTATTTACATGGTGAAAATCTCATTAGCAGGAGGTTACATTGACCGAGACTAAATACTGTACAAGAAAATGACCCTCAAGAAGAGTGGCTGCTTTCTGCATGCTGAAAAAGGAGAGGAAATTGCACAGGGAAGGTGTTCTTTTCGTCCTAAAGTGTGGGGTCTAGGTGCGTTTTACAGCTCTGTCAGTAACTGACTATTCTACTAATGACTTCTACTGAAATCTTGTTGCTAATTTTTACAACCAACAAGACATTTATTTCCAACTAAACAAACACTCATCCAGCAATTAGGCAGCAGCATTGCTTTTACTGGAGCATGCTGGTCACTAGTTGTGGGTGCTGCTGGGACCTTTCCAGCTGTGGGTGTCATCCCACAGATAAGCCAGGGTGCTGCCCCTGAACCCCAAGGACTTACATGCATTTCAGGCGCACAGCGTCCCAACAGGTCAATCAGAGCCGCATAGAAGGTCATGATGGCGTTCCCCATGTGGATGGTGTCATCTTCCTCCTCTTCTAGGTCACTTTCATGGGTTATTCCGAAGAAATAAAAAGCAAAGCAAACAGGAGAATAAAGTGCTATTTCAGATTTACTCCACACTCTCAAAGCAAAGGAAACACAAGCTAATTTGTTCTGCCTCTTCTGATGCTTTTCATGTAGGTGTTTAACTTACAGCTGGACATTTTAAAGCCTGGTTAAAGACCAGGGTTAAGATGCTATCACCAAGAATGCATTTGTGGGAACTTTAATATTAAGATTCCTCAGAAAGGAAAAAGAGGAATTGCCAATTGGATGGATTCTGCTCATGTGTAGTGGCAGACAGCACAATAACAAAGAAAACAATGATGGAAGGACTTGGTAAGTTAGGACAGTTTTCAAAGAAGCACACATTTAGAGAAAGGGTGACAAAGATCTGTCCTACAAGGTCACATATCTAAGGCACCCAGTACAGTGTTCTCCCCAGAGGAGGCACTTTATGAATGTGATTTCATTTACTCACTCAGCTCTTAACCATCTACTCTGCCCACCGACCCACTCCCAGTAATGCAGCACGTCCCCCTCCCCATCTGTGAGGAGAGCATAAATATTTCACTATGGCACTGATGAGAGACAACTCTGGGTGGCCCAGGAGATCCTCTGGGAGCTCAGCAGGCAGCTGCGTCAGCTGGACGCAGGTCTGCAGGGTGACAGCGAACCTTGCTGACGACACTGCCCCTGGCTGTTTCCAGGGTCCTCGAGTGCACACCCACTGGGGTGGTCCTGGGCCCGAGATCTCCTGACATGCTTTCTACTATGCAGAGAAGCTGAGAGTTCCCTATTCCTCTACGGCTGACTGATCAATACATCGCCTGTCCACGGAACACTCCCAATCTGGAACTCTGGCCTTGGTGTGGACAGAACAGCCATGCCTGGTCTACATGTGCAGAAACAAGGGATTGCAGGACCACTTCTTTGCCAGGAAATTTGCCTCCAATAAGCCCTATGTTATATATACCTTTACCAGTGTGGCCAGTAGTGTGGGTGCATGACCCCCAAGCAGGACATTCACCTCCACAGATTAAAAACTAGGAAGCAGCATGCCTGGATTAATGTATGTCTTTGCTGAAATCAAGTATTAACAACATGTTCTATAGAGAAATATAAGGTAGCTATTCTCCCT